AATGAAGGAAATCGGCGTTGGACACCTCGGGAGGTTCCCTCGTGAGTTGTTGTTGCTGATATGTGGTTTGCCGTTGTTGTTTCTGAAGAAACGGTTGTTCCAGTAGCCAACTTTTCGACTCGGTCCTGGTTCCACGACAGAGGACGCGGACCTTGTTCACCCGGGCGACGTCCGAGCCGGTATGATTTCCGAAATTGATCGTTCATGGTTGGTTTCTTTCGTCTTTTCATTTTTTTACAAACGGCGGTATCTGCACCCCTTCCGTTTAACGCTCCTCTTTTTTTCGGACTTTCGACCGGCATAGAAATCATTGGATTATGATTCCAGTGGTGGAGTTTCATTTTTTAATTTAAATAAAAAGACAACAACTTATTCCATAGGAATTTTTTTTCAGTATATATATTTATTTATTTTAATTAACATTTTAAATAATCAATTTATATAATAAGATATTTCTCTTGTTTTTTTGTTATTATAAGTGCAATTCTATTGAATATGATTATATTATAATATTAATAGATTTATTTATATTAGAGATTCAAAAATAAAATAATATATAGAATTGATATATTCTATTTAAAAATAAATCCCATTTATTATCTTTATTTATGTTTGGTTTATTTCGATTTAATAAAATAGTTTTTTAATATTGATATGAGGGAAAAAAAACTGATCAATTATATTCGAAAGATATAATATATTCAAAGAATTATTTTCAATAGAAATCGAAATAGCTCGATCAATTTAACATATATTATACGAACGGAAGATATTTATTGAAATAAATCAAACTCTTAAATAAATAAATGAAATCTTATATTAATATAATAAATCATTTCAATGGTTAGACTAATATTGATAGAAATAAGATTTTTTTCAATTTATTTATTTTAATTTATTTGAGTTAAACCTTTGCTGATGTTTTTTTTTGTTAAAAATTTTTCTATAGTTTTATAATGAAATTATTTTATGTTATTATTGTCGAGTTAAGATAACAATTATATATTATTGTTTTTTCATAAAAAAAAATCTTTATTTAGAAATAAAATATCATTTGTTTTGAAGAGTATTCAAATTGTTAAAAAGAATTTTTCAAATTTAACCAAACATTTTATATTATTTAAATAGATTTAAAGAATAGTTTTCATATTCGTAGAATTAAAAAAACCAAACTTTCATATTAAATCTTTATTGTTACTTTTTCAAAGCTAATTTAAATAGTTAACTATCTCCTTGCATTTAGCCAAAAATTCATTATTTATTATATAAATCAATTTCTAGATGAATCTATATTGATTATCTTATTATATATAAAGATTAGCAACGAAGATTATCTATTATTTTAATAATCTATCCTAGAAACATTATATTGACCTGAACAATTTTGACACAATTTATTTCTCTCTACTGAACGATCGCTAACAAATGATTAATATTTCATCCGATTTGAACTTGTTTTGTTGAAAACCTGTTTTTAACTGCTAGATAGAAACGTTCTATAAGATGAAATAATGATAAAATAGTTCGAATTATCGATAAAAAATTTCTAAGGAAATAAATTTAATCGATCCTTATAAAAATATTTTGAAAATAAATTTATTTGAATAGAATATTTATCGATATGGTTAAACAGAAATTCGAAAATAAAAAATGAAAATATTTTGTTTCTTTATATTTATTAATATAGAAGTGATGATTTACCTGATTGTTACAATTGAGTTCGTTATATTCCAGATTCTTGTAAAGTATTGTCTGATCTTTGGAAAACAGATAAAGATTTTGTAAGTTAAATAAAAGTATTGATAATGATGTATCAAAATCATTGAAAGAATTTCGTTTGAGTGATGTTGCACGTTGTTATCGTTCTCCATACAGAACAAATGGTGCTTCATCGATTCAAAAAGAAAAGAATGGCTTGAACAATTTTAAAAAATTATTGAACAAGCTACAGATAAACAAGTATTTATTAATTTTATTTCTATTTATTTATTTATTGATTTATTTCTAATATAAGTCAACTATTCGTCAAACAATGACTGAACTAAGAGATAACTATGAAAAAGCTCAACGAAAATTAGAAAGAGCTGATGCCAGTTTAAAAAAAGTTTCTGTTTTTATTATTTAAAATAAAAAATGTTTTAATGATTCTTTGATTTGTTCTACTTCTTATTTCAAAATATAACGTGTCCCATTGTTTTTTTTTGAATAACTTTCGATAGAAACATCATAGAGATCTTCGGCTTTCACCATTCAAGAGAGAAGATTCGGAACCTTCCAAAATTCTCGCCAAGAACTTATCCAATTAGCCAATGAAATTTTGATATATTTCGATTGCTTTGGATATTCTCTTTTAAATGATGAAAACTGCAGGTCTCTGTAATATTCCTATCAAAAGTTATTCAAAAAACAATAGAGCACACCTTATTTTGAAACGAATAGTAGTTATTATCGTTAAGAAAAGAAGTTAAAAACACTGCGTTTCTAAATGTTTTGCTTTCACTTTACTTATTACAAATAATAAGATCATTTTTCTTATCGTTCAATATGGGTAAGGTAAATAGATATAGTAAAAAATAATTTGTGTTGCTTTATTATTTTTTTTTTACGAATTTTCTTATATTTTCTGTTCCTAATACAAACAAATGATTGTCAAGTATTATTAGTATAAAATGAGTTTTACTTAGAACTCGGCAACAAGATTTCTATGATCAATATTCATCATCATACAATGATTCACATTATTGGCATGGAAATAATTCAAATTCATATGATTTTTATGGTTCAACACCGGTGGAAATTCCTCAATTTCAACATCCATCTCATACACTTTTATAACAAAATGGTTTTACTCAACAAGTTTATCTGAAATATAAACAAGAATGTCTTGATGGTAAAAAAACGTTGATTGTAGAGAAAAAAAAAGATTATTAGTTCAGTACATATTTACAATATTTCGAGAGAAACAAGCTACTGGTAAAAAAAGATTGAAATTATGTTACATTGAACGTAAAAAAAACGCGTCTATTAATGAATAAAGAACAGTCAACATGTCTAAAAACAACAGCGAAAACTACTCTCCAGTAAAAATCAGAGTCTAAAAATACTTATATTCTTATTTAAATAGCTAATAGAGAGTCTGTTGCTATAATTTTCAAAAAAAACAAAGATTTGACTCTTTTATGAAGTATTTTTAATAAATATTATCATTCTTATCCACATGATAAATTTGAAAAACAATAAAATAATCATCAATGATTAAAAACACTAAGTTTCACTAATCGTCAAACTTTATTATTTCATAGAAAATATTTATAATCTAAAGTTATGTTGATTTACAAATAAAATAGATTTTGTTTTCTGTAATGAACTAATTTCTACAAAGCGTTAAACTTGGTTCTGGTCAATCAATGGAAATACACTCTATCGTTTTTAGTCATTTTTCTTATGTGAAAATTTTAATCGTTATATATACAATGAATTTAAACAATATGCTGTTGAAGATACTAAAACTGATCATTGACATATAAATGAATTGTTTTTATGAAAAATAATAAGCAAAAAAAATTGAATATTACTATTTATGTATAGAGATGGTGTTGAATGTCTATTTCGATTTTTATATATATGGTATAGAAAAACATTTTCATCAGCATGTATTTGAAGATTTTCAACAAGAAACTCTTTGTGATCATGAAGTTGGTAATAAAATAGATTATACAAAAAAAAAAAAGAATAGTGTCAATAAGAAAAATCATTTTTCTATTTAGGTCATTTATATGGTTTAGAAAAATTCTGGGCATTTCTAAAATATTCTCGACAAAAACCAAAAATCAATCCAAAACTTGAAGAAATTTCAAAAAACTATAAAAATCTTGAAGATTTTCATGTTGACGATGCATCATTTCCACAACAATTTTTTTCATGATATAAATAATTTGTTTATAGACTGTTCCAGCACCCGAAGCAATTACTGCTGCAGTAGCAAAGAACAGTAATACATTAAATTCATTAAAACCCAATGGTGAACAATATCTGAACGGTGCTAAACTTTATATACGTTTTGTTTTTCTTTTATTTTGTCTAAAAAAAAAACGGTGCTCATATTTTTTCAAGTGGATTTCGATTTATTTAAAAGTATGCATGTATTTTTTTTTGCTTTCAAAGTTTATTGTTATTTTTCTAACGACAGAGATATGGAGAATTTTCATATGGTTTCGTTTTGTTTCTGGGACTATTTGCTAATAAAAACAAAACAACTAAACAAATTTAATTTGATTATGATTATGCATGTTTTTTCTTTTAGAAGAAAAAAAAAGACAATGGCTTCATTTCGTTTATTTAATAATATTGGTAAGATATTGAGATAATATTTTATTTCGATAGAAGAATTTAGTATTTTACGAATTTAAATATAAATATATTCTAGTTGATGAGGGTCATCGAGCTGTTATTTTTGATCGTTTTCAAGGTGTTAAACTAGATGTTATTGAAGAAAGAACTCATTTTATGATTTCATGGCTTCATAGACCAATTATATTTGATATTCGTACACGACCACGATCTGTTCCATCAATAACAGAAATAAAAGGTATAAAAGCTAGAAGAAAACAGTTAACTTCAGGAGAGAGGTGAACATGAGGAAAATGTAAGCTCGCGAAAAAAAGAAGGCAAATATGATGTCTATTGAAATATCAATGAATGTATATGGCTGAGGTATCTTAAAAAATTTTGCGGCCATCGATGGCGACTCAACTAATCGGTTTACACCTCTACACTCTCATCATTCACCAATTTTAGGATACTTCATAAAACTTAAAACCGGAAGTCTCCATTATTTTTTCTTCGTATAAATGAAATATGCATAAGTTACATTTTATTATTTTTATTTTAGATTTACAAACAATTAATATAACATTACGTATTCTTTATCGACCAGGAGATGAACTTTTACCAAAAATTTTTTGCAAATTTGGGTTTAGATTATGAAGAACGTGCTTTACCATCGATTATTAATGAAGTTTTAAAATCTGTTGTACTAAGTCTCAAACACTTTTGTTTTTGTTACTATCAATAATAAAACTGATTTTTAGTCTCAATTTGATACTATTGAATTGATTACACAACGTACACTTATTTCTCAATGTGTTTGTGAATTATTAACAGAACGTGCTGCTCAATTTAGCTTATTACTTGATGATATTTCAATTGTAAGATACGACAAAAAAGAGTCTCGAGTTGATTATATATAGTTTTTTTCTTTAAATTAGACGCATTTAAGTTTTAGACTTGAATTTACAAGTGCTGTTGAATTAAAACAAGTTGCACAACAAGATGTTGAAAAACAACGATTTTTAGTCGAAAAAGTAAATCAATAAGAATAAAATTTGTATGACTTTGTTTTTTTTGACAAAGAAAAACAGACTGAACAAAGTCGTCAAGCAAATGTTATTACAGCAGAAGGCGATGTTCGTGCAGCTGATTTGATTGGCAAAGCTTTAGATGAAGTTGGTGATGGTAAATTTTCGAATATCTTTTATTATCCTGTCTTACTTTGTTTTAATATTCATGTTAGGTTTGATCGAACTTCGACGAATTGAAGCTGCTGGAAGTATTGCAAATCAATTATCAAAATCAAAGAATATCGTCTATTTACCACATGATCCTCAAATGTTACTAACATTACTGGTGCTATGCAGTAAAAATATTGTTTTTTGTTTTCATAGTAAACTAACGAAATTGATTTAGGAAAATAAAAAGAACATATAAGAGTTTTTTTTGTATGTGTGTGTGTGTGTTTATAAACTATTGAGAATACTAAAGCATTGTATTGTTCTGTTTTTTGTTCGATAAAGAGAAAAAGAAGATCAGATAAACAATTCTCTAGATGATATGAAAGATTCGAGTACGACTGAAATGATGAATTTCGATAATCTCTTTCGATGTTTTATATTAACTCAATCATTTGTACGTGGTTGGGAAAATCCATTTCATTTACAAGAAATTTTTACCTATCGACGTGAAAAAATTGCTGTAAGAGATGAGTGTTTAGAACTTGTACTAGCTGGAAATGTACAGGAAAATACTGTTGAAATAATTAAACAAAAAACAAAAAGGTAATCAAAATTATATAAATGCTCGATTTCGTTCACCAGTTTGCCAATTATTTACCACATTTGGTAAGTAATTAAAATTATTTTAATAATTGAATTAATATTATTTTTTTTCTTTTGTTATATTTATTTAAATAGGTTCCATCTCAAATAGCTACAGCTCATTTTCAACTTGTTCTATCACGTGATCATCGTTTTGGTATTGATTCAATTCCAATAGGAATTTGTTATTGCTGGAACAGATGATCATGGTTTTAGTCGACGAAGGTTATTTACTGCAGTCCCATTAATTAATCAATATCCTATAGGTTCAATCCTTCTTGAAACTCCATATTATGGTTTAAGAAAACCACCAGATCAATCTCGTTCATCATTATTGTATATTACCGATTTACATTTTATGGGTAAAACACTTCTATTACTTCATTAGTGTCAAAAAATGAAATTGACATCAGCTATTCTACATGATTTTTCTCTTGATGGACATATGGCTTCATTAGCATTTACAAAGTAAAATTCAATTCCATTATTTGATCTATTTAATGAATGGATATACAGTATCTATCATAATTTCAAATAATGATTCAAGTAGAGCAAACCATATTACAAAAAGAATATAAATTAAAAACATTGATTATTTGATTCCCTAAGTTAGGATTTTTATCAGACAACCCAAAAGCCTAATTTCTCAGTATCTAGTACTTGAACTCTCTAGGACGGTTTTTTATTGAGTAAAAGTTGAATAATTTTGGTAACCATTGTGTATATATTTATATTTTAGATGACCTGATCCACCTTCTCGACAATTCTATAAAAATAAAGCTTCTTAAATATTTTAAAATTATTTACTTGAACGAAATCGATCAATAGATTCAAATAAAATTGTTCTCAATCTTATTAAAGATATGATACGTCTTTTTATGGATGAATTTACATCTTTATATAATTATTCATGTTCAGTTCAATCAAATATATCTAATGCTATGTTTATTGCTTGTATACATGATGGTTATGTATTACGTAATGGTATTTCACATATGAATGATGTTATGCTGCTGCTACAATGTTACAACGATAAGAACCAAATGTAAAACTAAAAAAAACATCTAATCATATCACTAATTTCTGTTACCACATCTAAAAATTCATGAAGATATATCTTTTTTTTCATATAGATATTTTCTCGAAAAGTATCAAATATTTCCTAGTTTTAGTGTTATGACTTGAATAATAACTCAGAGAAAAGAAAACTTTTGATCGAATATAAACTAGATAATATATTAATCGTTTTGTTTTTTAAATATAATTTGTATGACTCTAGTAAAAACACGAGCAAACATTTTTTTTGTTCTATTTATCAGCAAATAGATATTGAGAGAACTTCTCCAACTAACATCTTCTGTTCGAGCTCATAAGTAGGACTCATAGTCATGATGAAAATGTTAGTTAATCTAATATAAGAAGGGGTGTGGGTGTGGGTGTGGGTGGGGTGTGGGTGGGTGTGGGGTGTGGGTGTGGGTGTGGGTGTGGGTGTGAGGGTGTGGGTGTGAGGGTGTGGGTGGGGTGTGGGGTGTGGGTGTGGGTGTGGGTGTGGGTGTGGGTGTGGGTGGGTGTGGGTGGGTGTGGGTGCGGGTGTGGGGTGGGTGTGAGTCTTCTGTCTGAATACACCCACATCCACACCCACCCACATCCTGAGCCACATCCACACCCCACACCCACCCACATCCACCCTAGATGAAAATATATTGTTATAGTAGAAGAAACACTCATCCATTTTCCACAATTATCATGTTTAGCATTACCCCTTCTCTCAATTTCAGTATCATCAACCACCAGTGAACGTGTCTTTAGCGAAACTGGTAGTGTTCTAGAATCATGATGACAAGAACTGAATCCTGATTTATTTGATTCAGTTGTTTTTTTACGTAATTTTAGATAATTTATCTTCTTGTTTGTTTATTTTGAAAAGTATTTGACTAGGACCAGCCCGTTTTCGAGTGAAAAAAGTTGTGTCCATACGGAATTCTAATCCTCACATTCAAGATTTTGTTTAATCGAAAGATAAAATTAACATTGGTATTTTCTGTTTTTTATATTATTAGGTTGATGCAAAATTAACGACCGTTTTTATTGATACTAAGTTTATTCAACAATAGAACATCAAAGTACACTCTTAACATGTTTAAATGATCATTCTGGAGCATAATCACCATCTACTTCAATAACTGCTTCCCATTTGCTTGGCAGATAATCAATTCCACGTGCAAAAAAGTGACAATCCTTGGATGCAATCCATGCTTTGACATCAATGACAAGGTCGTCCAAATCATCGTAGACTTTGCCCGTTTGCCAATTTTTGAGCGAACGATTGACATGATAGTCTGTAGGAGCTTCAGTGGGAGAATGTGATGGGTGCTCGAGCAGTTCCCATCCTTTGTCTTTGATTGATTGGATTACTCGGTGTTCGAAATGTGGTCTGGCGTTGTCATGGTGAAATACGATGTGATTCTTCTTGCGAGGACGCTTGGTTTTGATAGCGGCTTCCAAGCGATCGAGTTGAGCCAGATAGACGTCGCTGTTGAAGTTGTGCTGCTTTTTCCATTTTCTGTCAGGAATTGGCCATTCATACTTCACATCGTTGTCGTCCCACCAGTAACAAAAACTTTGTTGGCGAACTTGAGTGATGATTTCCCAGTGGATAATACCGAAGCGGT